GGAGGGAGAAAGACTCTTCTGGCCACTGATAACCTCAGACTAAACTTGCAACCTTACGAGACAAGGGCCTAATATCTGGCCGTCAATCAGCCCCAGCATCCCTGGCTGGAGTGTTTAATTACAAGGATCAATTATTTACCAGCCTCCTCTTTCACTACTCAGCGCTCCCAAAAAAGGAGTGTAAAGAAGAAAAAGAGAAAAAGAAAATTAATTTAAAGCCTAGAAGAGGTTGTAGTAGAAAAGTTATAGAACAATATAAGAAGCTTGTTCTTGACAAAACAGACGATGTTCATTGTGAATATATATACAGACAGATATGTTTTTATGGTCCGATGAGACTTTTTGCTTTCAAAGGATTGACTACAAAACAATCTAAATATATCTTTTCAGATTAATGCAAAATAAAAAAAATCCTTTTAAAGAATATCGAACTACCTACAATTAAAAATACCATTTTAGTGCCCTCACATAATCGACAAATTACAGCTGAAATTGAAGTTACAAATTCAGAATTAAGGATTGCAGTGAAGACTTAAGGTGCACCGTATGATTTGGAGTAGCTACCAAACTTTAATAAGGTATTTTCTGTCATAGGAGAAATTCACTGAAAAAATGTTCAGGGTTTTAACAAAAATAAATAAACATCATTCATAAAGCACCTGTTTTCACAGTTACATTTTCTTTACAAGAAGAAAGTATGCAAAATAACATGATAATTCAACCACTGTGACTCCCTTCGCTTTGTGGCCCACACAGCACCTGCAAGGCTTTTAACTAATTTGAAGAGACAAGATCGTATTACCCCTTTGCTTGTACTCACAACAGCGCTTCACCTTATGGCTGACGCTGGGAATAAAAGTTAGGAAATACAGATGAAGTCACAAAAACAGACCATTTCTCCAAATAGTGCACATTTTGAACGTCGCATACAATGCACAGAAAGGTATTTTATACCACACATACTTAAATATTCTAAATCGCTTCTTCGAGGCTGTACAATGGAGTTTTTCTCTTTTACATTTGAAGTTTCAAAAGAGTCTTGAAGAAAAATACTCAGTACTCCCTGTGCTGTACACTTAAAGAGTCGTTTCTCACCTCAGATGGCCAAAGATTCAGCTGTAAGACTTTAAACTAATTTAAAAAGACAAGATCATGTTAACTCTATTCTCGCCACACTATTAAAGCCAGTAACATTTTGTACCTGGTAAAAGAAAAGAAAAAAGACCCTGATCTGACATGAGCGGTCTAATGAGGGATACAAATAAAAGATACCCCCACCACCACCACCACCACCAAAAAAAACAACCCTAACCCAATTTCCACAAAGCACACCTTTAAGGTAAAAATGCGGGAATGAAAAACAGAAAACAGATGGTTAGTGCTTGATGACTCTTTCATGTCACACAACTGTATAGTGCCTCTCCTTGTCTTTGTATCTAAAATTGAAAAAAGGGAAAAGAAATTGAGAAGCAGCAGCTGGTGGAGTGTTTTGTGGTCCTCTATCCATAGAACAGGGTCTCTTCGTGTGTCCGAAGTACAGCCAGCCAGATAACCCACAAATAAGGAGGAATAAGCATTCAGCACTGGACTAAGTCTGCTGTGGTTCAGTGCCCTACCACACCTGTGATTTGTGGTTTGCATGTTTGCTGTATTTTTGTGCTAGATTTACATTGTCATCACCAGTTGTGTTTAGACTTGTTTATGCTATTTATGGTGTGCGAGCTCCACATTGGCGACCTGCTTCTTTCCTTGAAGGAATTACAGCTTGTGTTTCTTTCACAATGACCCAGAACTTCAACCAAAGACTGTATATTAAAGGCGACGCCTAAGTGATGTTACCCATCTGTTATTGTAGGGGGCTTTGGAAGCCCGTCGATGGCGGTCGCCATGCTGTCTCACCCTTACTTTCAGTCAACGTAACAACAGGAAAAGAGCTGGAGCGGAGGCGGGGCTTAAGCCTCAGCTCTTAGCAACACACACCAATGCCAAAAATAAAATAAAATTGTATAACACTATGTCAATCGTTCAGTGTAGTAACACCATCTTCAAGCATATGGTTGTTGGACATTTTAAATCACTTAATGACAAGGATACAAAAGCCCAAAATCGTACTAATTTAATTAACCAACCAACATGAACTATTCGCCTATACCTGCTCAAAATAAGTTCACTGTTGAAAGACTCAGACATTGATCTAAAAAAGTAGGTTCAACACTTACGGCCTGATTAATTCCACAAGGGGGAGTGTGTTGAGACTGAACTAAAAGAGTAGGCAGCTTGCGTCTCCTTCTACAGCAGCACAGGGTTTTTCCCCTGGACTCTAAGCTGATGGCTCATTAATCTATTCTAGAGGAGGTCCTCTACACGAGAAGCCAGCGCCACTGGAGGACTCCTCTTGCCTCGTCCTTTTCAGCAAAATGCTTTTACTTAACCACGAGTCTTGCCAAGTTAAAGAGAAGGTTTTATAGAAGCATTCACAAAAGACCACCTTTACCTTCAGAAATGTGGATTTATTGGTGTTGCTTAAGTGAAGTATTAAAGTTTAATACTTCACTTAAGCAACGGTTTTTGACTTTGACATTGAAATTTAAGATTTTGCAGGTTCTGCCCATTTCTCTGAACATTATGTGCGATGTTTGGCGCTGTACACTTTCAGCTCATCTTCTTGGTTGGTAAATTCTTTGGTATGGTACCATCTCCTCTCACTGACATTATTTCAAGCCGTGTTCAACTTGCAAATGCAAACACCTCCATCTGACGGACAATTTTAATTATTCATTCTTTAAAAAATGGGGATATGACAATATTTTGCAAATAAAAAATCTAAAATTGGATTGTTAGTGGCGCTAGAGTGAAAGTTAATGGAGCAGACCAATTACCAGCTAAGTTATTACAATCCATCTTGCCTCTACCAAATTTAATAACAACCCATCCACTAAATGTCTACACATTTAACTCAAAACTCCAAATATCACCTCATAAAGTAATAGGTTATCACCAGATACACAGTATTGTGGTCAGGTCTGAATCAAACATTCAGAGTTAGCCAATCACAGTGATTCTATGAGGAGAATGTTTGAGTTGCAGACAGGTTGCAGTCACAGTGGTTGGCTGCATTCTATTGTAATGTTCATGTTGCTTTCTGTGCTGCTTCACAGTCAAAAGAAAAATCTTAAACCAGCAAAGAAACAGTCTCAAATTCATTGCATTGGAGCTCTAAGTCAATTAGGGGTGAGTTGTATGCTTCTTTGTTACATGAATATTATGCTTTCTGTGAAGAAGTGTAACAAACCATGAATCCAGTTCCAACAAGCATGATGGCTTTTTGTAAAACAATGAAAACAGAGTGTATGCTAACAGTGCAAATTAGCTACCTGCATACACATGAACAGCCAGACGTCCTGTGTGGGAGGCAGCAGGGCACTGAAAGGCACCATTTACACACACTGGTTTAACTGCAGCATTTGCTCTGACACCCATCATCGTGTAAGTACTCCATTCATACTCGGCTTCAGCTGTCAAGAGCAATTACATGTTAGTGATCATTCTACAATAGCCATTCACATGATTAATCTCACCGCCCTCTGTGATTTAAGTGGACATTTGTCTGACATTGGGGGGAGTTGCGTTTTCTCCTCGCAGCAACTGATCTGTTATTGACACCATTACTTAACCACCACAAATGTAACAGTTTAAATGGCAGCTCTGTCAAGCCCTACTCCTATCAGTTATTGTGTTAAAATTCAGCATAGATATAAACGTGTAAAGTATTCAGCCTTATAAGGCTATGGTTATAGAATCAGTGACAGTGCAACATCACACGTGTCACTTAAATAAATAAATCAATCAATTATCAGAAGGGAAACAACACTGAAAACGTGACTCGTTAGTGTTTCTATGCAACATTTCCACAGTACGTCACACAAAGTGAGGTGCACAGCATGTACAGTGCAAAAAAACAAAATCCATCAAAATGTTTTTAATAGCATCTGATTGGCAAGCTGTCTCGGGACAGTTGGCAAATGGGCGGACAGCGGAGGAGTTTCGAGGTGTTAAAGTTCAGGCAGGAGCAACGCAGCACCCTGTGTCCTGCCAACAACCTTACAGTGGCGCAATTCCTGACTAAGTTGTTGACCCATGGCCCCCACCTGTCTTGACCATGCATTATATAGAGAGAGGGCATCACTTCCCTTTCTATGCTGCCTGCCACACCAGAAGGCTTTTGACTCATGCCCATCTGTCTTGATAGTATACATTAAACGAAAGCCAAGCTCCTGGCACCATGTCCAGTTCATGTGTGCTTTTAAAACAACAAGTTGTTATATGGTGTGAGAAGACAATTTGTACCTTAGAAAAGAACATCTCGGTAAACAGGATATTTGTCAGTAAACAGGTTGCTTCTAACAGTTGTCCACAGATGAAAAGGAGATACTATTGAGATGTTATAGAGCAGACTTTCAGGAAATTATTTTTAAACAAGGTTTACAGTACACCTTACAGTGTACCTTAAAGTGTTTCTGACTGAAACATACATTCTACATTTTTTTTTAGATCACACTGTATCTCCATGTGACTGTAAGGAACCAACAGCGATCCGACTCCATAGTCTTCACCTCTCATTATGAGTTTGCATGCCTAAGGCATTACCACAGCAACCAAGGCAAACCAGATAACAATGCCTGAAATACAAATATGGCCTAATCACTTGCTAATATCAATGAGGCCAGTCAGTCCTAGATATTTAAGTCATTGACACGTAAGATTTGCCAACAGACATTTAAGGCTTTTGCATGTGGAAATAGATCAATTGGAGAAAACATTTTGAAAAAAAGTGGAACAAGAATAGTACAATTACACCAATTGCCTTTGTTTGAATATTTGCTTATATTTGGTGTGTATGAAATGCTGACATGTTTCAAAAATAATTTAAGCAATTACATATTAACTCTCAGTACCTCAGAAATCACAAGAAATAAGAAATACAAAAGATCTAATCTTACCTGACCGTGTTGGATGTCTAAGTATTGAAGCACCTCTCTAAGCATGACAGGATTGTGAGGAGCATTTTCATGTGAAACAGGCGACACTTCTTCAGGTCCGTTTAGTGGACCAGGACCAGAAGATGTACAAACTGTAGAAGAGTGCAATCTTGACTTCCATGACCTCCAGCATGCTCTCCACACAGCCAGATTTGTTTTCCGAAGCACTGGGTTGGAGTGCAAGGACATGAGGAAAGTCATTATCCTTATAATGATCTGAGGAGAAAATAAGAGTGAAGTTATGAGGAGAAACCAACAGAAACACAAATATAGAAAAGTAGGGTTTGTAATCTTAAGGGATATAAGTAAATAGTTTGAAATATATATTAACAGAGTAATGGGCTTCAAGTAATAGAAGATTGCTGCTCTGAAGGTGTTGTGATATCATTGGAAATGGTTATTATCAAGAATTAATACATACAGTTATGTAACAAGCTACAAGTACAACGCAAACATCATTTTGAATATTAAAATACAGTAAAAATCATGAGAACAAATTTCAACAATGTTATTATTAAAATGTACCAAGTAGCTTTGAAATTTTCTATAAAAAATGTGGATAACAGCAAATACAGCTGATAAGTTCAGTATATTTGCATTCTTCATGAACAATACTGCCCACATCAGGCATTAAAGTGAGCCACATAGTTAGATAGGTATTCAGGTGTTTCCTGGCAACAAGATGTATTGAGGATTACAGTTCTGTTTGTGATCTATGGTTCAAATATAATAGAAATATGTGCAGGAGATGAAGGAATTCATCGAGTGTGTCCATGGAATTTTTGAATGCAAAGCAAATGTTGAATGGCAGCAAGGAAATACATTATTTGAAGAGGTGGCAATAAACATATTGAGTGACATCGCATGATTGCATTTAGACAGAGCCATCGCAGCTCTCTCTCTCTCTCATACTGAAATCAAAATAAACTCTTACCATAGTTTTATGTGCATCTTTTGGGTAAATTAACCAATCCCAATCCCCAAAATGCTGATGAAAATTAATGATTGAAAGTTGTGATAATCAACACACCTATTACCAATGAATAACTTCTTGATTATTTCTATCTGTCATCACCTTTGACAGTCATAGGGGTTAATCATCAGAAAAAAGGGGGCATTTATCAAATGACAGATAGTTCTACTAAACAGTTGCGACCCTCTAGTGTCCCCATCAGTGTAATAAAATTGGGTGCAAGGTGGTCCTAGGATAAAAAGATTGGGTTGTTATGTCACTATTAAGGAGCGCGTATTGTTTCCAAGTGCCCAGACTAAGGTTTCCCTCCTCTTATTTTGTTGCTATGGCTACAACGCCATGAGTGGGTTGGACGTCAAAATTGCATTTCTTTTCACAAGTCATAGTTTGGACTAGAAAACATGTTTCAATTAAACGAAGCGCATCAAATCCAGTGTTTGCTGACTTGGAGGAAGCAACACACAAGAGACACTGTGGGAATGAAGCAGTTTTACTTGAGCTTACTAGCTAAGGCAGGGGTGGGCAACTGGTGGCAGGGGCCACATGCGGCCCCAATCAACCCTCAAGGTGGCCCTCAGGTCAATTTTTATATATCAATTAATTGGAAACATGAAGAAAACATGACAAAACCTGCCATGAAATCATGAAAACCAGAAATATGTCCATAATAATATTTGATCACTGGTATATGTTGCGTTAAATTTGAGACATAATTGATTGGAATCGTTTTTTGTATCCTAAAATTTGGCCCTCTAGCAGTCAGAATTAAATGAATGTGGCCCTTGCTGTGACCAAAGTTGCCCATCCCTGAGCTAAGGTTAAAAATATAACAACAATGAACGTGGGTTACACTCGTTAAATAAAGTAACGAGTGCACACACTCGCCTTGTCAAAGGTGATAAGGGTATGTTTTGGATAGCAATTCGTTGCAGACGGATGTTAATCATTGGCGGTGTTATGTAGTGTTTGGTAACCTTCCTCTACTCTGTTCAACACGTGTTTGTAGTGGCTGTTTATGGTCAGAAGTGGCTAAGCATTACACAGCGGACAAATGAGTCATACAGTGTGGTCAATGCTAACGCGTTTGATTACAATGGGAATTGATGAATACATCAATAGAGATACAACAGTGTCATCGGATATACAAAAATTATACTGGAAGTGTGCCGGAGAACAGTATCAACATCTCGGGCAGTGAACTAGCTTACCGTAGAGCAGCAGAGAGAAGCCCCGCCTTCTGTGGCCGCACGTCCGCTGCGTCACTCCGTTACGTTACTCCGATACGTCCGCTCACAACCAATCTGCTGCGACAGAGGAAGAAGGCTTGTTTTTGAAAAATGTTGGCGCTTGTCGTGCTAGCTGTGGTCGGTGTAAAGCTTCGCAAATGAGTTTTTTTTTTTTTTGTGCGAGTCAAATTACTTGTGTCCATGAAAAAAACCGTAACCGTGGTAACGCAGTGAAAAATAATCCGACACTGATAAAAGGTAAGACATGAACAGAGCATTTGACATCCAGATAACATCGCTAGGTTTGGTAGGTTGAGTGAGAGCTAACGGAAGCTAGCAACCTCAACCCAACCCTGGCAAGTTAACGTTGGCAGGATTGGTTTTTAATGAGTAATGTTGCCAGCTAAAAAAATGTCCCTTACAATATTTACGTGTATTAAATATGTGCACCATCCTGAAGTCATTTATCTTGAGTTTTTTGACATGACAGAATAAAATATTATTCATTAAAATCTCAGGCAAGATGTTCATATTTTAAGCCTCATTGTCTCAATGAAACATTACCCTTTTTCTGGGTATTAGGAAAAAACTTCGCCTAGTATTTTTGTCATATTTCTAAAAAGGCATGGTAATAGCCCTGAAAAAAAATATTAACTTGTGTAATTATGCAGTATGTATATCATCATACTAAATTGAGACTTTATAAGAGCATTTGTCCATCAAGGACACACTGGGATTATCAATTCAGTGAGACTGAGGTGATTTGTTAGTCTTGTCTTAACTTTGCAGATCTTTAACAAATGTACCAACATACTACACAATGTATTGGTTTAACCTTCCTTGGCTTTTAAAGAATGCAACGTTTCACCTGGTGCCTTTTGCCTATTTGACAATTTTCATTCTCAATTTATGCGACTCAATGAGCATAAAAACGTATAACTTGGTAATTTAAAAAAAAATTAAGTTCACCTTTTTGTTTTTGTTTTCCAGCAAAGCTTCAGTCGATGCAGAGAGATCACGATGGCTAGTGACGTGTGCAGCCATGTAAAGGTGGTGGTCAGGGTGAGACCAACCAGCGAATGTGAGAAGCGTGAAAACTGTCGAAATGTGGTCCAGGTCGTTGATAACCACATGCTCATATTTGATCCCAAGGAAGAGGACATGTCCTGTTTCGGGGCACAAAGAGTTCGAAACAGGAATCTCAATAAGAGGGCCAACAAGGATCTTAAATTTGTGTTTGATCATGTCTTCAATGAGGACTCGACTCAACTTGACATCTTTGAGAACACTACTAATGTCGTGTTGGACGGTGTGATGAATGGATTTAACTGCACAGGTAACAAATACAATTTGTACATTAAAGCTGCACCCAGCTGCCAAACTTAGCTAAGCCTTAGCCTAACCAACTGACAGATTCAAAAGCTAATACCCACAATAATCATGTTAAAAGAGATTTCCAGAACGTATTTTGTTATGATAAGTGGCTTCAGAAAGATGGATTATAACTCTGTTGCACAAATTGGTACAGATCGAACTGCAACGATGTAGGCATACTCCTGAATCAGATGAAGGTGGATTGATTAAAATACAGTTAAGCCTTTGACTATGTATGAGATAGAATAAGAAATGAATGTGAAACAGAACAAGTGGAAGTCCCCAAACTTTTTGGGGAAAAAGAGCTCTGTCATTTATTCTCTTTTTTTTTTACCTTTCTTTATTTGACAAAAGTGAAGTTTAACTACAGTTATGAGACAAACAAATAGCTATTTAGACCTTTGCATTTATTTTTACATTATAACTATTATCATTGACTCACCCTGCCATATCATTTATTGAAAGCCCTATTGCTGTTTATTTAATTTGTGATTTGCTCAATTTCCCCTTGTGGGGATCAATAAAGTAAATCTTAATCTTAATCTTAAAAGGAACACAATTGGGAGGATTTGATGGCTGCTGTTTTCCAAGCTGAAGATATAGACTCAAAATGTATTTGACTTCAGACATTATCAGTGCTTGACTGAGATATGCTGAATAAGCTTGACATCTTGTCAGATCCTTCTGAAATATGTTCAGTCAGTTGCCAGTTAAATGAGTACACCCTTTCAAAAACTAATGAACCAATCAGACAGTCATGTTAGAGCGCAGTCACACTGGCCATCTGTACCGTGCCACACTCAAGCACGATCGGCCCCACGCTGGCCAAACGAACTGGACTTTAGGGTTGAAGCATGCTTGGCCACGGTACGAATGGCCAGTGTGGCCGCGCCCTAAGTAACCCAAGCTTCAAAGGGCTAAATGATCAATTTTTGTTTGACCTTTTTAAGATAAGTTTTGGTCAACTACTTAATGGTCCCTTTGGAGAATATACTTTATATTGTTGTTGCACTGTTCTGCATGTTACTGAAAGGTCTGTGTTTTATTGTTTTTACTGTGATGGAAAATACAAACACCTGCCTTTAGAGTGTAATACAACAGAATCCCAAATGAAACCTCGAAAGTGACCAAACAGTTAACCACAGTTTACAACTAAACATTTTATAAACACTTCATGAAGAAGTGATTTATTGCAGGAGCTATATTATCCAATACGTTTTGAATTGTCCAATAGTGTCTGAGTTTAAAGCGTGTCACTTGGGTGGCGTTCAGACATTTCTATGTACTCAGTTAAGCACACTAAAGCCAGGCTATTCACAACTAGTGCAGCTTTCGTAACCTCATTTTGAAATGAGTACATTTGTTTCATCCATTGCTGACAAAGGCTTTAACAAGATAGTTTGTCTTTAGTTGGATATGAAGTTATTAGCTATTACTTTTTTTGCCTTAGGAATTATTATTAGAGAGATGTTTCTTACGTTATAGTAATTTGTCTTTTGATTTCAGTTCTTGCGTATGGTGCCACTGGAGCAGGAAAGACACACACCATGTTAGGGTCGCCTAATGACCCTGGGGTCATGTACCGCACCATGAAAGAGCTCTTCAAGCGCATGGATGATGCCAAGGAGGAGAAAGAGTTTGCTGTTGCATTCTCATATCTCGAGGTGAATATCTGGAGAGAGGGAAAAAAAACTGCCACATGTTGGTTTTTTTTATATATGCTGTTCCTATTTTCTTTCAGTTTTCACTTTTATACCTTAAGTAGTCTTAAACCCCAATCATGTCTCCACTGATTCCCTAGCATGTATTGATGTTTTTTTTTTTGTTGTTGTTGTTGTTTTTTTTTACAGGTTTACAATGAACAAATCAGAGATTTGTTGGCTAACGCAGGCCCCCTCGCAGTCAGAGAAGACGGTTCTAAAGGAGTGGTTGTTCAGGGACTCTCACTGCATCAGGTTAGTAGTAATATGTAGTATATAACATTCTTACTATTTTACAGGTAAATACTAGTGTCATCGGAAAGTCAGTTTATTAAATGCAGGCTGATTTGGATTTCTCTCAGTTGCTTTTTAAATACATTCAGATTTTCAATTACAAAATCTATTTTCAAGGTTGCAAAGGCTGGAAGAGAATAAATTAGAACTGACTGGACCCCCCCCCCAGCACGCACTGATATTAAGAAATGTTGCTTTAGAAAAGCTGTGAACGTAAGAGGAAAGTCAAGGCAGTTTGTAAAAACTGATCAAAACAGACATTTCTAACTACTACAAGAGGCTACAAAATGAAAATATTTTCTGTAGTGGCTCCTCTCTGAAACAAGGAATTTGTATTTAAGAAAACATTTTGGATTTGAATAAACACTTTGTGAGGTGATCAGTCATCCAGAATAAATGTGTAATTGTTTAAACATGCTTTCTTAATTTACTGACAGCGTTATTAAATCTGCAAATAAAATACGGTAGTTATTCCTTTTGTAAGAAATACCTTCAAAATGAAGTATATGACAAATATCAGTGCAAACTTTTTAATAAAGAGCCTTTTCATTGTTTTGTTGATGTGGTGTGCAACTGCACAAGTGGTGGTTCTGTGTCAGGCCTTATGTTGGGTCACTCACTATCTATATTTTCTTGTTCCAAATATTTAGCCCAAATCTGCAGAGCACATTCTTGAGGCCTTGGATTCTGGGAATCGCAACAGGACACAGCATCCTACTGATATGAACGCCACCTCTTCCAGGTCCCATGCTGTATTTCAGGTATTCTAATCTGGTTTGATGAAATCCTATTGACGACGAGGCTGTACCATTATTACATGATTTAGAAAAAAACAACAGCATGAAAAGGCTGAAAAATGATCAATTAAGGAAATGTGGGCATAAAGTATACAGTCGTTTTATAAATGATAAGGAGTTTACTTTTTCACTGCAATCATCTAAAAATGTATCATTGCGTGCTTCTTGAAAGTCATTAATTGGCAGTTTTCGATTCTTTTGTCCAGATATATTTAAGACAGCAGGACAAAACTGCCAGCCTCAATCCGAATGCCTGTGTAGCCAAAATGAGTCTGATTGATCTGGCTGGTTCAGAGAGAGCAAGTGCCACCAACACCAAAGGGGCACGTTTGCGGGAAGGTGCTAACATCAATCGTTCACTTCTTGCCCTGGGAAATGTTATCAATGCTCTTGCTGACCCGAAGGTGAGTTCATATTACCATTATACATACATTTAGATTACATATAGTGTGAACTAACTAATGTAATGATCAAACAAAAGACGTTGTCTTATTTTAACCAGCTCAATAAGGTCACTGTAGATTATGATAATTCTAAAATTAAATTAAGATCTCAGTAGCTCTCAAAAAGTGGAAAATGATTGGTGTCCTAATTGTTCAGGTTTAATGCTCTCGCATGGGTTTATTGGCCCCATGATGCAAAATAAAGACAAAAAAAAAACAGGAAAATAAGACCCAATACGAAATAATCAGTTCATATTGTTATGAATAGTGTTTTTATTCATTGAGTTTTGACAAAAGGTTGACTGAATGCCCTGGTCATAAGGAGACATATAAGATATTTTTGCCCCTGTACCAGCCCATGTTGCTCACTCATCCAGGAAACCCATTCCAGTTTACTTTTTCCTTACCCCGGAACCATTACTATTTGGTGTTGCCATCAGGCTG